TAGTTTTTGTAGTTCCCTGTGTGATTGTTTGTTTATCCAAGCCATTGTTTGCATTGTTATTTTGAATTAATTATTAGCAAGGAAAGGCACCAAGCAGATGGGGCAATTGCTAGTCATTTGTTGCTATGACATTCCTCCATCTCCATCACAAGGCCCATCTCTGTCCAAAGCATTAGTTACTTTTTATAGTCATTAACAAATATTAATCTTTCACATTCACTGATTTAGATGTTTGTTCCTGTACTGGAATTAATATTTATTTATTTAGCAGGAATTACAAACTGGCTGTAGTGCAGACAAATAAAAATTTGACTCTGGGATTTGAAGGAGCATGTAATTGGTTAAACCCACAGTTTTGATGTCTTGTTCATAAATTAAACAACCTGCTACATCTGTTTTTGGATGAGGATCTGCTGACTGACACAGACTGAAAGAAAGGGAGCATGCTGTTCGCTCAGTTTGGCACCCGAGTCAAAATACTGTTGCCTAAAGTCTATTTATTTAGGGTATTGTTGCCTTTTTCAATAACTTTATAAAGTCATGCCGAGAAACCCAGTACTTGCATTCGTGCAGTATTTCCACAAATGGCAATAAAATTGTGTTTAAAAAAACTAATTTGAGAGTCTCTTTGTAGATCTGTATACATGCAATTACATTTTAATAAATAGCGCTTGTTTTGATCGTTAACTATTCGGTGTTTGAATGAATCTGTTGAGCGATCTGATGATTCAATTCAAAAAGACACTTAGTGGTTGCCAGCTACTGATATTGCTACAAAAAAAAAATTTTTGTGAACAGAGTTAAAAGATTCAAGTCACTGGTATGAATCAAAATAACCACTACTACAAGGCGTGCAGGGATCCATTGTTCTCATTATAATGGGGCACAGCTCTTGCTCATTCCTCAGCAGATCTGAATGCAACAGCAAAGTAGTTTTTCATTTGCCTTTTCCTCGGCAAAGTGTACAACAATTATACAATATTTAAGGCGTGACATAGACATGTTACACTGTGTTGCATTGTAAGTACTCCAGATTAGTACAGTTATGATGATCATGCCTTTGAAACGCTGATGTGCTTACCGTGCTGTCTTTTGAAATTTAATTATAATGAGCTTGGGAGAAAAAACAGCTTTGTATTTTAGAGGTACAGACTTTGCAGGCAAAGGAGTTTTACAAAATTATACTCTGTGTAATAAGCTGTCAGTGCACTCCTCTTGAACACTAGTACAATTTGATCATGTTGCTCTTTAAAGACAAAGGTAGTCAAATGTATTCCTGCATTGCTCAATCAACTGACTGGCTGGTCAATTTAATGATTAACTGTAAGGTAATATATTGATTGACTGATTTGTTTAGTCAAGAGTAGCAATACCATTTTTGCATCTGTAATGCCTTTGACTTGCTAGTTGTAGTTTAAAAGATGCTTGATATTGAGTAATATTATTGATTTGACTGCACTGAAATCAGATGAGAACAAAACTTGAACTGAATTGAGCTGGAACTATTGTCTTCTTTAGAGCTGCTTTATAGCCGATTTGAATTAGTTTCATAACAGATGAATTTTGCAACATCGACACTTATTGAACTGAACTGAATTAACATTGAACTGACTTGAGTTGAATGACAACACTTGTCTTCTATAGAGGTGCTTATAACTGAATTGAATTTCTTTCATAATTGATGAACGTTACACACACATTATTATTATTGTGCTTTACAGCAGAATTTGAATTTGTCACATATTTGAAGAAGTTTGCATCATTGGTTTTGTTATTTTTCTATTTATTACTCTGAAGCTGCTTTGAAAAATTCTGTATTGTATAAAGCTCTATGGAAATAAAGGTGAGTTGGCTTCTACAGTGTAAAAAGTGTCAGATATTAAACATTTAGAATTCTAAACTTTACATTCAATCCTCAATCGCATGTATCATGAATGTTGATTAGTTCTTTTCTCATGACAGCAGGCTAAAAGGCTCTCTAGAATTTTAATAATCCTATTAGGCAGTGAAGGCATTGTTGTGGGCTTTCTTTGAAAAGAGAACCTTATTTAACCCATCTATCCATCATCTGTTTAGCTGTGAGATGACTAGACTTTAATGTGAGTTGCTTAATTTAACTTTGACTCATCACATTGACAAAAGGTGGCTTAATGTTGGCCCAGGGCTGTTGCTTGAATTCACAGGGCCCAGGAAATCTTCGGGCCCAAAGAGCCCCCCTTGTCACAGGTCCATGCAACCGTGAACAGCAAAATGTAATTTATTACATGCCTCAGAAAGACAATTAGGTATTCTACATTTAAAATATGCAAAATCAGATATGTCAGACGCTGTTTCTCTCTTTGTAAGCGATATACATGGAAGGAGGCATTCCATTAAAGCTGATGTTAACAGAATTAAGAACGCTAAGTTAACTTTTTTCCCAAAGTGTAAGCTCAGCAGTCTTTTCAAAACATCAAGTCTGAAGCCGGTAATCACTGGGTGCCTGCATAAAGGTAGATTATGTATTTGAATTAGAACCCTTGATAATCTTCATCTGGATTTTTCTTAACAGATGTTTCGTTTTGCGGTGCAACCGTGCAATTGATTAGCCACATGCGAAGGAGAAGCTGTCACACACTTGACACCAGTGATCCTCTGTCCTCCCTATCTCTCTTTTAGTCCTCTTTCCCCGCACCATCTCCATTAATCTTTTTCCACCTTCAAACCACCGTCTCTCTTTATGCATCACGTCCCCACACGCCTGTCTCCGTTACATGGTGTTTTTCAGTCAACAGATCTGCTCCTTCATTACCTGAGGCCAGTGTTTAATATTTCATATGTATTTGCATTACATTTCAGGGTTGTGTCCCTTGAAATGTGCTTTAAGCTTAAAGCCATAACTCTGTAATGTGCAGGCTTGTGATTAAGTGATAAGAGCCCTTACGGTCTGTCAGGTGTGCCGTCCCCTGTGATGCATGTTTTACCCTCAGCTTCATTTAGATTATTGACTCATGGGGAGATTTCTAGCAGCACTGTTCTTTGTACGCAACAAAAAGACAAAATATTTGTACTTTAAACACATACATAGTGTGATATTTAGAGAAGGAGCAAAGCAGTTTTATAACTGAAAGGTCACACTTACATTACAGTATTTGTGTTACTCTGTAAACTGTTGTACTGACTGAATACATCTTGTATTTTATGTACAATTTGATTTTAGATTTTCATTTTCTGCAGAAAGGTTGGTTGCCAGAGTGTTATTAAGGTGGTTGCTTACTAGTTAGGTGCTTACTGGTTGCTTACTTGCCCAGAAGCATTATTTACAGTGGGACATGGCTGATGGCCGCTTCATGAAATTGCTTATAGCAGGGATGTATCTAATACAGAGGATTCAGTTCTTCAGTTTTTATTTCATAAGTATGTGTTATATTGACTGGAAATAGAGCTTGGAATTTGTTGTTGTTAATACTTTGTGTTCATTGCAGGTGTTAAAGGAACAGTTCATACAGAAAAATTAAAATTACTTGCCCTCTTGTCATTCCAATTCTGTATGACTTATTTTTCTGCAGAACACAAAAGAATATATTTTCAAAAAATGTTGATAATCAAATGTTAGTATCAACGTTTTGGTTACCGCTGTAAACAAAAAAAAATCTGACATTTCTCAAAATCCTCTTAATATCCATGTAATACTTGTTTGTGTATTTGAATAAGAGTCACATTTGGTTTACACTCAGATTTCCCTTTGTCAGTTGTGCCACATTTTTGCCAAAGGTGGCCCACTGTTGGTTTGTGATATTTGGGCCATATTCATTATTTACCACATGGGCCACTTTAGGGTCACATTCAGATTACACATTGCCATAAGCACCGCATCTTTGCCTAAAAAGGCCCACATGTGATTTGAGATATTTGGGCCATATTTGCTATTTTACATGTGGCCCACTTTAGGTTCACATCCATTTTGTCCGGGCCATAAGAAGGCCTGCAGTGCCGCATCAATGCCTGAAGTGGCCCACATCCGTTTGCTATCTGGGAGCCATCCATTCTCCAGCTGCTTGTCCTATGTAGGGCCGTGGGTAGAAATGAAGATGTCAAGTTAATTTCAGAATCTTAAAACAGTAAATGAGCACGCTAAATTATTGGCGCGTATGACATAATTAATATTCATGAATTAAGCGTTCGCATTTAGTGACGTCAAAACTAGAACATCTGTGAACCTGTCTCCAAAGTGTCATTTTAATTTAAAATTAATTATTATTTTAATTGATTTGAATTTTAATATGCTTTAAAAGGAAACTTGTAATGTAGCAAAATTAAAAGCGCACAATTCTCAGCTGGAGGACAATGCCCCCGCAGAGATCCCTCCCCCCCTCCTTCCATCTGGGAAGTATATACAAGTTCTCCTCGCGCTTACCGCGCATCAGTTCGACGCTGAGCGCGACACCTCTTCTCTGACAGCACACACACTGATCTCAAATGGCTTCGGATTCTAATATGAGTTTCTTAAGATAAATAGATAAACTGACCTCTCCAGACTGATAGCAGATTTAAAAGTTCCAGCCATCCATTCTCCAGCTGCTTGTCCTATGTAGGGCCGTGGGTAGAAATGAAGATGTCAAGTTAATTTCAGAATCTTAAAACAGTAAATGAGCATGCTAAATTATTGCGTATGACATAATTAATATTCATGAATTAAGCGTTCGCATTTAGTGACGTCAACACTAGAACATCTGTGAACCTGTCTCCAAAGTGTCATTTTAATTTAAAATTAATTATTATTTTAATTGATTGGAATTTTAATATGCTTTAAAAGGAAACTTGTAATGTAGCAAAATTAAAAGCGCACAATTCTCAGCTGGAGGACAATGCCCCCGCAGAGATCCCTCCCCCCCTCCTTCCATCTGGGAAGTATATACAAGTTCTCCTCGCGCTTACCGCGCATCAGTTCGACTGATCTGACAGCACACGCACTGATCTCAAATGGCTTCGGATTTGAACTGAAAGAAGACGTTTGACTTTTGTTTTTTTTTGGGGGGGGAGTGAATGCGTACACGGTTCATCTTTGGTAAATCGTGATGACCACTGTGAATGACATTTCGTTTGGAGACAGAGATCCCTGAGGAAATGAATTGTCCCGTATTGTGTTGTATGTGATGTGTTTCACGTGTTTGCGCACCACAGTGAGGTAGTTTGACTGACACGTGTTCCCACGGACCGTTAAATGCCCGGGATCCGGATCCTTTGGGTGATCTATACGGTGGATGCGGCGGAAAGAAAGGCCGTTCTGTGATCACCGGGAGCGGGGACAGTATGAAGTATCTCAGAAAGTGGAACTGCACCCGGACCATTTGGATTATTTATCCAGAGATGATTCTTTTTCCAGTTCTTTGGTTTTTATCTCAAACTCGGGCGGCCCCGTCTATAACAGCCGAGCAGATGGATATGGGGGTGGTAGGTGCTCTTTCAAGCCTGTCTTCCGAATAATAATTATCGTTTAGGGAAAAGGCGTGAAAGAAAAACCTGTGGCCCGTGGGTAGAGATAATTACACGTATTAGACACGTGTATGAAATCGAAGATATATTCGTACTTGCGCTCCCACGCGTCTGAATCTACACACGTAACGGATTTATTTCATTTATTTCTTCACAGAAGTCAAGTTTCACCCGCGACGAGTCAGAACCAGATCGTGCGTGAGAGTGTTAAAGAAATAGTTCCGCCAAAAATGAAACCATGTCATCGTTTACTCACCATCATTTTGTTCCAAACCTGTATGACTTTCTGTCACACACAGAAGACTGGCGTTCTCGGTCACCATTAATTGCATTTTTCTTTCCATATAATAGAAGTGAATGGTGACTGAGGTTGTTGTTTCCTTTTGTGTACCGCTGAAGAATGTCAGTCAGACTAATCTGGAATAATATGAGGGTGAGTAAATGACAGCAGAATTGGTGAACTATCACTTTAAATATCGAGCCGTTCACTTGTGGGTTATTTTCATATTCGTTACCCGATTATGTGCGAAGTATACCTTACATAAACACCGAATATCTCATTCACACACGCATTCATCAATAAGACCGACGAGAAGCGTCGTGGGTCGTATTTCTGCTAATCGAGTGTCCCGTTTAATTTACGCTGGTGGATGTCGGTAAAGTTGATATGGCCAGATGCTGTAGCCCATTTAAGACGCTATTTTTGTGTTTGTCTGTAATTGGAGCCATAATCAACCTCTTCTCAGGTACTTTTTCCCTCAAACTCACTTTCATTCTGCGCGCGGTTTCAGAGATAATCCTTGACGTGACATTTTCACGCGCAAAGAGCTTTGGAGAGCGCGTGAACCGTGCACATTTTCATTTGAATTTGTCTAGAGAAATGTTTATTTACTAGGATTTTTTGGCTGAGAATTTGTCCATTGCTCAAACTATATTTAAGTTATTATTAAATTATTTATTTGTACATTTCACACTGGCAATTCCTTCAGAAATGTTTAAAATCAGGATAGCGCAAGGAGGCGCAGACAAAATAAATAAATAAAATTGCTTACTCTTTAGTTGCATTCAATCATCCCTTTTTCATGCCTTTACATATTCATCTCTGAAACAGAGGTCATTCACCCATTTAGTTTTTGATGATGCACTTGGCTCAGTTTGTACCCTAGGTAAGAAAAACAGCATTTTTTAACAATAAGGAGTTTTGTGTATGAATGATTAGTCTAGTGCCGTTTTTTCATTTTGTGTGCAGAGAGATTTATTTTTTATTTGTATTTTTTTAAATAAACCAATCAATATTTACTTGCAACTTTACATGACAGATTTGTTTTCCATTTGGAAAAAAAAATTTAAGTATGGCTATGGGTATATACATTTTAAATATAATGGTTTGGAGAATGTGCTATTCAGATGGACTTACCACATTTAGACACACGCATTTTAGACGCTAACTTTTTTTCCTACAAAAATCATGCCTAATAAATTAAAAAAATTAAATCCTTTTTCCCCCTAAAGCTTTAAAATACGTTATGCTTAAAAATCCCAGGTGGTCCATGTCCCCAGACTTTGAATGGGCATGAGTTTGTGTTCTTGCATTCATATAAAAAAAAAAAAAAGTAAAGTGACATGTGGCCAAGTATGGGGAGACCCATACTCGAAATTAGTGCTCTGCATTTATCCCATCCAAAGTGCACACACACCGTGAACACACACCCAGAGCAGTGGGCAGCCATTTTTTGCCATTTTTTTGCAGTTGGGGGTTCGGTGCCTTGCTCAAGGGGCATGTACATTCACACTGTATTCACTCCCCCCACCTACAATCCCTGCCGGTACGAGACTCGAACCCGCAACCTTTGGGTTACGAGTCCGACTCTCTAACCATTAGGCCACGACTTCCCCAAAAATGTATGTGTTTATGTGATATTTATGTGTTTATCACGCTTGGCTATACATCGGCAACAAAAGCATGTAATTTCAGTTAACAAGAGTACTCGAATACTCACTTGTTAAGTTGTTCTGTTCTATATTTGATTTTACTCTTCAAAGATATAGATTTTCCTAATCAGTATCCTTTTATCTTTCATATCCAGTAACTTTCCAAGTATTCATAAAGTACTGTATGTGTATTGATCACTTGTGGTCAGGTTTCCCTTCACTTTAATAACCTCTTGTAGTGGGAACTTTTAGCAGCGTCCAACAGGATTTTCATTTAAACTCTCAAATGACTGGCAGAGAGTTTAAAGGCTCCTTTTTTTTTAATGACCCTCAAAAATCTAATCTTGCACTACTGAGCAGTTGCTCCGTGCATATAATGAGGCTGTTGATATATGTCAGCATGTGACACTGCATGTCACCAAATCTCTGATCATTAAATGTGGCATAGACGCTCTGCAAAGAACAGCTCTCTGTGACAGCAGCTGATAATAACATGACACATACAGAAAGACACTTCTTTCAGATTACATCTCCCATATCTCCTGCAGTGTCCATATGACTGTAGACGACAGTGCCGCTGTTGTTGTTAACTTTGTACCCAGACCTATCATGCTTGAATGAAGACTTACGGAGTCTTGTCCACCTCCAGGGAGACTGGCCATAGTTTTGTGGGCTGTTGGCACAGCAACGCTTGACAGGCGCAAACGATGCTTTTAGAGACCTAAAAGCCACAGGTGATGGCACAGATGGTGGGGTATTGTTGGGCTGGGGTGGACGGATGTTAAGTAAGGGAGTCGTGATGGAGCAGATGGGCATGTGGCATGATGATTGGTTTTAAAACTGTTGCTCATACTGCACAGAATGGGACGAGTCAGCACAATAATGATTACAAACCCCATGCGACACAGTGGATCTCTCTCAGCATCCCTCCCCTTGAACAGTGCAGCTGAAAATGAAAATTCATGTCACATTCACTAATAATTGCGTGGATTATTTTGTATTTGTATGCACAGGAGAACATCTCACAAAAAATCTAAATACACAACAAGTTTGTGAGCACATGTATTATTAGTGAATTTAGAGTATTCTAATATTAGTGAGTTTAGAGTATTCTAAATGAGCGGCCACATGCCCGAGGTTTGTCATTTACATAAAACACACCCAAACAAGCTCCATATAAGTACTTTCCACACAACATTTCCTTTACAGCCTTTCATCGCCTGCCAGACGCACGGCAAGATCCTGTAGCTGTGTGCCATCCTTAAAACCAGTTCAAACACATAAAACGCCTTTAAAACAGACCCAGATTACAGATTATGCAGTTACAGTGGTTTTGTTTTATATATAATATATACAACAAAATTTGTTATTGTTATATATTAAGACCAAACAGAGTATATGTTTTTTGCCTATGTGTGGTGTCAGTTGTTCCCACATTTTCTTGTAAATTTGGAATAAATTGGAAGTGTGGAAGATTTTTGGTGAACCAGGAATTGTGTGTTAAAACATTCATACATTGATTTCACGCACAAATTGAGAATGAGACCCATTGTTTTTACAGGTTAAAAATACTTTATTGTTACAGTTTGTGCAGTTTTTATTTATTAAAATCTGTGAATTTCAATGAACTAAATGCACTACAGTTATGTGTGTGCCAGTTTTCATTACTGTAATGCATTTGGTATTGTCTGTCTTATTTTAGTAATGATTATTTTGATTATTACTTCTCATTGTTTTAATTTCATTATAGTAGTCATGATACAGATTAAAAACTGTATAATAGTTTTTAGAGTTTTGCAATTAAATTCTACCAAAAACAAATTCTACCATGTATAAATACTTTCAAATTTTAATTAAAAAAAATTATCTTATCTTATTAAATGTTTGTTTATATATATATTATATATATATGTATATATATATATAATAGTAATTGGAGGGTAGCATGTTCAATTTCCCTGAAAATAATTTCACAATGCAAAAGGGGGCCTAAAAAAATATTTTATTTTGGGTCGTTTTTTTTTTTTATTTTGGTGGTCAAATGTGACCACCACTTTGTGAGAATAACCAAAGTAGATAAATTCAGTTAGATTCCCTTTTTTAACATGCTGCAAAGGTGTTTTTCTAGCTTTTTTTATTTTGCATTACATTGCATTCTGTTTTAAAATCCTCTGAGTCAAACTAATGTAACGTCTTTAACGAGAGCATCAGCTGGACCCATCAACGGATGAATGCAGCAGCGCATGGCCTCCACTGCCTGCCACCCTCACCCATGCTGTACTTATCATAGTACACACCACATATTAGCTCACAAGCTCCGAGTGGCACATCCTCAACTGAGCCAAAGAGAGAGTCAGCCACCTCTGCGGTCATGAGCCTGTCCATCATTCACGATGTCAATTTGACCAATGTTCTCACTCACTGGCTCTCACTTCTAATTACCCAGAAATACTTCAGCATGAGTGGGGCGGGCCTGCGGTTGACATCCAAAGCGAGGTGGCCGAAAGCCAGTGTAGACCCACCACAGAGTAATCAAGAGAAAGGGATGAGTATGAGAGCACAGCCTTGGAGACTAAAAGGGGCCACAGCATTTAGAGAACTGGTAAATATTAAATCAGTAGCATTTCTCTTTGGCTAATATAGACCTGTCTCTCTGGAATAATGTACTGTGGATTGATTTGCAGCTGCAGTAAATCAGGTGATCTATTTTTCGGGAAAAAACTCCCATTAGTCATACCTGTCTGTCGGAATTGGCTCCATTTTGCATTTCCTTACTGCTTAGACAGATATATAACAATGCAGTGAGTTGTAGTAACTATTCTTGTGCTGGGTGGGCCTGTAGTTTGGTGCATGTCCGACTTTCGGCTGTCGTTCTGGATTCTGGTGACCTCTAGTCCATTGCCAGGCATCTGGGATTTGGGACGAGGAGATTATTTCAGGAACAAGGTCTGTGGAGAGGTGGCAGAGGTGTGGATGAGAATAGATTTGGCACAGTGAGGCAGCAGAGTAATGTGTGTCGAATTATG